CATTTGCTTTGTATGTTTAATTACCATGCGAATATATCTCATTTAATGACAATATCACATTACCGCATGGAAATTTTATCAAAATATTTATGTTTATAGTAATACAAATACTGTATATATTTTTGAAATATAATTAATATGATTTCTTCCATTGGCCGAACAAACTTTATAAATTGATTTCTTCTTAATTTCATTATAACCAATTCTTGTTGAAAAAAGCTCAATGGAGAGCTTTTTATCTGTGTTGCAATAATATGCTACATAAAAATATATAGCATTATTATACATTCCACAATCTCAACATATACATCCCTGCCGGATAATCACCAAACATCAAAGTTCGTATAGCGCGCTGAACTTTTAGTAGTAAAAACTAATACATTTCTCCATGTGCAAATAAAACTGGTCGATTATAATGAGTGATCATTATTTCTCATATGATTATTAGTCAAATATATGAATTTCTCTTTAATATTTACAGATGAATCAGCAGTGCAAGGTTTGCGGCGAACCGGCTGCCGGTTTTCATTTTGGCGCTTTCACTTGCGAAGGATGCAAAGTAAGTTTCAACTCAAGACTAGATTCATATAATATGATATTATTAACTTTATAATGAGATAATCTATGCAGATATAATCAATGTTTGTTTTCTCGAAAGTTTGATTAGAAATATACCTAGATTAGAAATTAGCAAATCATAATAACGATTTGTTTCGAAAGATGCAATTATAAACTTCAAATTATAGTTGTTACGGCAGCTTGTACCAAAGAGTTGGTGGACAATGAAAATGTCTAAATCATATACACTATTTTTATAAATTTGTTAGATGAAGTACATTATTCTATTAAAACCAATATATTAACTAGGTGTAGTGGAAATTTTTCTAAAAGCAAATTGCACTTCGCAAAATCGGCTTACAAGGAAAACTTCGGGTTTACTCTTCTGGGATTTTATTGGAACTTGATGATAAAGTTTATAGTGAAACCAAAATATTAGAGGCATATGAAAAGTGGTTTAATGAAAAAAAAAAATTAGATTTTGAATAATTAATTGTTTGTTAAATAGAGAAATTCACAAACAAAAAAAAATTGAAATAAAATCATATCATGTAATATTTGTAAATTATAAAGTATATTATTGTGAAGAAATTATTATTAAAAATAATAATATCCAAACAAAGAATAATTAAACTAAGATTAAAATCATTAATAAAAATCAAGAATGATTAAAATAAATAAAATCAATTTTTTGAAGTAAAATTACTGTTCATTCTTACAATTAGCCAGGAGCAACATCCTACCTTATATCACAAATTTTGAGAAAAAAAAACTAAACGAAGGAATATGTAAAATTGTCAATATACATTGATTAGTTGTATGATAAAATATATATTTTGAAACAGAGAATAATAAATATAAAATCGTAACCACCACATTTTAAATCAATAGCCTGATGCAAGAAAAAAACAAATGTAGTGCACTCTTTTTATCCAGGAAGTAACATTATAACTAATATCTTACTTTTTATAAAAATTGCTTGCATATAAAAATGCGTGAAATTCTCAATAAATTCTGAATAATTATATTGTGAGTTAACTTACATATTTCATAATGCATTTCATGATCAAAATCGTTTCATGCATCTGCTTCTCGTAATAATTATGATTATGACAAAAACTATTGTTTTAGTCGTACAAATGATGATACACGTTATGGTTGATGGTTTTTGACCAGGTGTCAAAGTGTCATCAAAAATCAGTTTATAGGCGAAATATTATTTTAAGTAGACAATGGACACGTGGCTAAAATCGGACATAGTTACAAATTGATTTAAAATATTGACTCTGAAACATCTGCATATTTGTATATATATATATATATACAAACGTGAGAATATTTACGTGCCACATAAGAAGATATATACATGACTGTTTAATGTTAAATCTAATGATAATAATTAATATGTATAATAATTATAAAATTTCAAAAGTCGACATTTACGTCTACAAACACATCGAAAGTTTTAAAACCGATTTTAAGACCATATAATTATGTACTCTTGATCAGATTCAATTTTACAAACAGTAACTCCGAATAACATGTTAATATATGCGCAAGTTATAATTATTATGCCAAAACTTAAATGAAAATGTGGGACACTTGGGAAGGATCCAAAAATGCAATGCAACTGTATAATAATGATCTCAAAGTTTGTTTTCCATCAGACCCATATCAAAAAAATATGGAAAACCAATTCGGTTTCCTGGTTTCTTCATATATAATTCTTATACACGTTTTTGAGTAATGCAAAATTAATTAAGCAATATAATTGCATAATATTTGCAAAACAGTAATTAAAACATTAATTTTCTAATATCATAAAAAATTAGTGGTGTATGGCATCGTGCCTTAATGCAAACTTCTGGAACTACCCGTACCAAAAATGAAAGTTTTTAAAAATGATTATATTTTTTTAAACTTTGAAAAATAGATTTTTGAGAAATTTTAAATTTATCAAGAAAAATTGATTTTTTGGAAAGAAAAGTTAAAAAAAAATGTTTTTGTTAATTTTGAAATATTTTGGAAATTTTGAAGTTTTTTTCAAAGTTTTAGCTGCATAGAGACGAAATATCGAAGCGCGTAAGCGCCGCGTCGCCGTTTAAAAGGACAAACAACGTTACAGAACCCATAGTTAAGAAAATTGATACACATTATTAAAATCTCCATAAAATATCTGATTATTTGATGTGCATATGTCTAATGATCAATTTTGACCGCCTATTTGTCCCTTTTCTTACTGTAAGTTAATTATATTGTCAACTGCTTAAAATTTACTAAAATTGGTTATAAGCAGCCGTTTTTTATCCCAGACTTTTGATAGTAATCAATTTTACACTTTTTATTTTTACCATTTTATACAAGAAAACTATATTTATCCTCGAAAAATAGTTCCAATAAAAAAAAAGTAATATTGAGCTAAATTTAACATTTAGTAAATATTTGCTATATTTAAATAAAAAAATAATATAAAAATGTAAAACATAATTAGCATATGGTGTACATCCTACAACAATTTGGACAGAATCTAAAATACGATTTTTTCCTTCGATTACAAAAATCCAAAATTGGATTTTTTGGACAAAATATAAAATACAATTTTTTATTGGATTACTGGATTATATTCAATATATTGACAGGTAAATAGATGATCTAAAATGTCTACAATGTCAAATTTTTGTCAATTTACTTCCGCAAATTATTTCTGCATATATATGACATAATTTTAGGAATTTAGTATTAGTAACTTAAATTTTGTTTCGATTTTTAGAAGATGTTGACCTAAAAGTGATTAAAGTCTTGCATATGAATATATAAATAAATTAATTTTGATAAAAATTGAATAAATTGTCTATTAAACTCAAATCCTTGTAAATTTACTATCGCAAACACTTTCTAATTGTAATACTTCCGTCTAATATTAACAAATTGCTTCCTTGTGATAATAACCGTCTACTAAAATTTACGTCTTCGGCATGAGATGCATGCAAAATACTATATTGTCATCGTGATCAAACATATTAAAGTTTAATTTTAAATATGTTTAACCTAATTTTTTTACTTTAATTGTAATCTGAAATATAAAACTAATGATGCATAGGACATAACTTGTTGATCTAACAATTTAAATTAATTGGCTCATGCAAAAATCTTATACTCAGACCATTTAAATTACACAAATCGCTTCCTCATTTTAATCGAACGATTTAAATTATGTTCTCACATATTTTACATCCAAAACTTTCAATATAAAATTAAAATTCATTCAAGCCGCATTAAAGATGTTCTCACCTCAATTTCCTGGCTATTAAAATCCTAAATTGAAAAAAAATATAATCATGCTTTCGAAAATGTTTTTTTTTCCATTTCTGTCCATTGCGTATTATGATTATGCCGCTCCATGGTGCTATCATTAAAAAAGAAAATCATTTAATAACACTACAGTTAACGCCGAAATAATCACGAGACAGGTCATTAAATCTGCTAAAGTTGTTGCAGCAGGATTGTTCGCACTGCCTGGTGGGCCAAAAGCGCAAATTTCGGGGATAACAGTATGTTATCAAAAGCTTTAAGCGTGCTTTCCGTCAAAACGCCCATTTCAATAACGAAATATATGGACCAACAAAATGATATACCGTCTTCTATGTTATTTACAGTTACGCCCAGATCGTAAATTTCTGATTTAAGTTGTTGCATTAAAAATTTTGCCAAGGACGGTTTCGGGGTATAATTTTGAAGAGGCTGGAATTTAAACTTTAAAGCGCCCAAGTCGTGGGTTGTTGAACGACGGTATTTTTAATAAGTAATATTATTATAGTGGAAAGAGTATACGAAGTGAATTAAATATTATGGGCAAAGAAAATTTGCTGTATAAATTCGAATATTAACCTCATAACTGGAATTGACGAATATACTCGTCATGGAGAAGTGGCAGAATTTCGTTTCGTTTGCTGTAAAGTGAATTAATTAACTTCCCGTAGGGTAAGTTATTGTGATCGTCCAAAAATCGAAATTGAACATTTTTGTATATCTCTACGTTTCAGAGGTTTCTGAAACTTAACGTTGAATAAATGGATGTGTTTGTGTGGATACAATTTTTCGTCGACGATCTTGGCCGAACGGAATAAACTATTTAAATGATTAAAAAAAGCAATCGATGTCTATTGATAAGGAGACGTGCTGGTTAGTTTTCGGCAAAAGTTGGTCTAGTTGTTTCGGAAATACGGAGCTAAATGTGCAAAATTTTTGCTCATTTAGCATTTTTGCTCTGTGGGCAGTTTTTAGGAGAATTAAGCATCCGATTTGAATTATTTAAAAAAACTTTCTGCTTGTATTGGTGAAATGGTTGCTTTTGGGAAAAGAAAAAAAAAACATTTTTTTTAATTTCCAACATTATTTTTCAATATCAAGAAATTCTAATTCTAGCTAAAGTTCTATATATCACTGATATACTTTAAATAAATAATTTCAACTTTGCAATTCAGTATATATAATTCTTATAAATATTAGACAATGTCCTTCAATTTAAATCCGATTGATCCGAGTTTAATAAACGACGTCGTCCAATTCATAAGTTCTTATATTTCGTCTATAAAATAAGAATAATGAAAGTTACAATATTTAAAATAATCTATTTGAAAACGTTTATTATTTCTCGAATATTTCATTACTGTACGGGAAGTTCCAGTAATTCGCCTCAAGGCACGATGCCATACACCTCTAGTTAAAATTAATTTCAGACTCCTCTGAGTATTTTGAAATCATTTCTAATTAATCAATTATAATAAATTTCAATTAATTTTAATTAATATTTAAAATTAATTAATTTTAATTAATATTCAATTAATCATTAATAATAAATTAATTTTGACAAGAATCTGAGATATTTTTTTCATTGAAAATATATTAATTTAAAAATTTAATATTACAAAAAATGTGCTACCACTAATAAAACTATTTGAATTTTTTTTAACAATAGCTAAAACCTCTAAAAGGTGAAAA